AGGGGACGTAGCTGGGACGAGAGGGGAGATCAGCACGCGGGGGCTAAGGGCACCCCAGCACGACGGGGAACCGTCCCACAGGCTGGTCCCTCTGCTCCTGGGAACTGGCCTCCGGCCTGGGCTGAGGATAGCAACTGGGGCTGGACTGGGACTAGCCCAGGCTCATGCTTGTGTCTGTCAGGGGCCTCCTGGGGGTCACAGCCAGCCCAGTGCAAGGGCTGGTCCCCAATCCCTGTGACCAGACAACACCCTTGCCTCTGTCCCTACTCTGGGGACCCCAGAGACCCCGAGGGGCCGCGGTGGCTGTGGGCTGTGCGCCATCAGGGCTGCCCCCGTCGCTTACACCTGCACAGTGCTGAGCCCACTCATGTACATCTTGAGGAGCCGGTCCCTCCAGGCAGGGCGTGGGACACGGGCGTAGTGGATGCTGCCCGAGATGTAGCGGAAAGGGGCACCATCCTTGCGGAAGCAGTCCTCCTCGTAATCCAGCTGGAAGGAGCGTGCCAGGGGGGAGGCCTGCGGGAGAGGGGCAGTGCTGGGGTCCTGCAGACCCTCCCCAAGCCCAGCCGCCCCCTCCCACACTCCGTGGGACAGGGACTGACAGGGGCTGGTTCCTGGGGGGCACCCTCCCCATCCTCAGTGCAGGGACAAGGCAGGTACCACGCTGTCCTGGGAGAGCAGGAGGGACAAGCAGGGCAGCCATTTGTACCGCCTCGTTAATCAAACACCCTGCAGCTGAGCTGGTGGCATTTTGGGGGACGGGTGCTGCTGGGGATGGGTGCTGGGACGGCAGGCAGGGAGCTGGGAGCGCAAGCGGGACATTGGGGCGGGACATGGGCTGCAGCAGAAGGGAGCCATAGCAGGAAGAGCAGGGACGTGGGGGAGGAAAGCAAGGCGGATCCCAGAGCCGTCCCACCGGATCCTTTGCAGCTCAGCCCTGCATGCTTCTCCCAAACTTTCCACCCGTGTTTGCTAACCTGTGTGTGCGGGAGGCCCGCCGCCAGCAGCAGGGTGAGAGCCAGCAGCCCCATCCTTGCTGGGCGCTCGGCAGACCCGGG